TGTTCCTAGGACTGCGCTCTTCTGAACAGAGACCTCTGATGTTTTACCTGGAATCTGCTGTAGCCACTCTCCCAGTTTGGGGTCACAGCCCCCAGTGCTCCAATTACCACTGGCACCACTGCTGCTCTTACTTTCCACATCTTTTCTAGCTCCTCTTTCATCCCCAGTGAGAGAGGTTACACATATATATATATATGTCAGGTCTTAGCACCTAAAACATCATACATACATACAGGGAAAGAAAGAAGGCGCAGAGAAAATTAATTTAGTTTTACTCGCGAGGAGAGTAGGAAGAGACTGCGGAGTTTACAACTCTCCAACCCACTCTGCAGTCCCAGCGTTCTCACTATTTATTGAAATCAGGGGTCCCTGGTTACAACAGCTGAGACTGCACATGGGGGGAAACAAGATAAGGAACTCAGACTTGCAGTCTCAGTAAACATATCCTCTAAATTTCAGGGTTCAGTCAAAGTTTAAGCTGTTGAAGCTGTTCAGCAAAGTTCAGCAGGTCGAGTGCTGCTCGTAAATCAACCACAACCTCCCCAAAAGCAAATCTACAAATCACAGTATACTACAGAAAAGATGACTATGAACACATGCACATAGCACACAGCTTTATGCATTATAACACTACACGGATACATTTATATACAATTATTCTAACTATATATATAAGATATTTACAAATATTTTAACACTTCACTTTGCTGAGATGTTTTTGAACTCCAAACTATACTAGAATCATTAGCAAGTCTTTATAATTGGGCTTCAAAGGTTTAATATCAAAAGCCAATCAGATTCCTCCACTGTCACATTTTTGGCAAAATTTGGTGTTTTGTACTTTCCTAAGTTTATAAATTACAAACTTTTAAAATTGATTGTGTTTAAATGGATATGCACCTACTCCATCAAGCAATTGCATACAGAGATTGCAGGGCAATAGCAAATCCACTAGAGCGGCTTCTGATGAAAATTGTAAGGTTTCGAAGAACCACTTTTGCTCAAAGTGCCCTATCCGTAAGAGGATTTGCAGTTTGGAACTCACTTTCTGTTGATTTAAAGTCTATCAACCATTTTAGTATGTTAAAAAAAAAAAAAAACTTTAACCATTTTTTATGTTTTTATGTTTGACTGTTTGTAAATGTTGTCAATATTATGTTGTGCTATTTCAAATGACTATCACTGTAGTTTTTAGAGGTTATTTTTAAAAGTCCATATAGGGAGAAGTGCTGCGAATTAGCTGTTGCTATTGCTCAATGATGCAAACGTGGGACTACTGTTCAGTTAAGTTTGTCTATGTCAATGTGTGTCTGTCCCCATCAAATAAACTTTAAGTAAATAGTAGTGTTGTGACCAATGGAACAGTTTGATGAAATCTCAACCAGTCTAACCAGTATATGCTATATCACTGTACTCTGCTGAATTTGCATGTTTTATTGATCTAAAGGGTATTGAGCTTTAAGATATAAAAACACTTTTGAAGCTTTTTAATACATACAACAGCATTTTTTCCTAATTTTTGAAATAAAACCCTTTCAGCAAAAGTTCATGCATGTTATGCAGTTTTCCAGTAATTCAGGTTTGCTCTCATTTCATTTTAAGCCCTTCCTCTGACTTACTGGCAGGTTAATTGTTGCCTATCAGGAAGTTTTCTTGCTACCTGCTTATGTTTTTGGAATTTGATCAATTGTGATCTAACCCTCATCCACCACCACAATATCAACAATATCTCTTGTAGCCCCGATCTTAATAACTTTATCTCAAGACTGCACCTATCACATTCACTTCGATCATTAAGCTTTTGCTTCCCACACAGTCTGGATTAATATGTCTCTAAACATTGTCATTTGACCTGGCACATTGTGTACTTGACTCACTGCCCAAAAATCAGCAAAAAAGTGAACTGAGCTGAATCACCTTTCCGCATCATTCTGCGTTAACACTTCCTCCTTTATAAGACTTAACATAATAAAAACACTTAAACACATTTGTACTTTAAGTACCTTAAACCAGGGGTCTAACAACTTTTTTAAAACTGAGAGCTACTTCATAGTTACTTAGTCATGCGAAGGGCCACCATTACTAACCCATGATATGGAAGAATGTTTTTTTTTAGATAGTGTAATTTTAATATCTCTTTAAATGCAAGTGTGGTTGAAAAGGAAGAGCAACAAAAACAAGTAAAAGATTCAGGCTGATGAGTTGTGCTATTTTTATAAGATGCTCACAACACCTCGTGTGATCATAGGGTGCACCCTGGTTCCCATGAGCATCATGTTGATGACCACTGGCTTAGACAAATGTTTAAATGTTGTCCAGTTTTAAATTAATACAAGACAAGTTTTAATGAGTTCTAGTTTTTTGTTTGTTTGTCTTTTCATGTTTTGATACAAGTTTAAGGACTGCACAGGGCAAAGTTTGTAGCACTGTTACTTTGCAGCAAGAAGGTTCAGAGTTTGATTCCTTGCCCGGGGCCTTACTGCATGGAGTTTGATTGTTCTCCCTCTGCATGCGTGGGTTTTTTCCGGTCACTCTGGCTTTCTCCCACAGTCCAAAAACATGACCGTTATGTTAATTGGCTTCTCTAAAGTGATCTAAGGTGTAAGTGTGTGTGCCCTTGTATTTCTTTCTATGTCTCTATGTTGGCCTGCGACAGACAAGTGAACTGTCCAGGGTTTACCCTGCCTCCCACCCATAGACTGCCAGAGCTAGACAACAGCCCCTCTTTGACCCTGATGGGATAATGATTTAATAATCTAACTTTGAATATACCCTTTTAACTAAGTATTGCTCCTTGTGGGCGAGTTAATTGGTTGGAGTTGTACAGAGGAAACAGACATTCTCACCTTGATGTTTCAAACTGTAACTGACAGGTATCAAATATCAAACTTTGTTTTTTTTTTTCTCTGCTGTTTTGGTCTGTCTAACAACTTCACTTTATTTTTATTTCAAGTCATTTTCATTCAATCAAAACATTTAATTCTGAACAGAAATTGGACATGATAGATTTATGTAAAAGTAACTGTTAGTTCTCAAAAAGAAATCCTCTTTTAATGGAAAGACAAATAAATAAAATTAAATTTTTAACAATAAATAAACAAATTGTTATTGTTATTAAAGCAATCGTGGTTTAGTTAAAAATGAACAAACAAAAAGGTCAAAGGGAGGGGTCTTTAAGAAGAGGCCCATACCATGAAGCAAGCTCGACATAGCAGGATAATTCAAGACTATCCGGTTTATTGAATCCATAAGAATTGTAAACAGCATCAGCTCTAACACAAAGCTGGTGATCAACTCATTGATTCAATCCAGCTTTAATTAATCATGAATCTATGAACGTGCACGTATAAAGGGGAGGGTTCAAGGTAGAAGACCAATCACAATAATTAGAGCAGAAGGGATAGCACTTTATTTCTAATATGAGGATCAAAAACTCATCTTGCAAAAATACGTAGAGGAAAAAAACATGCTGAGTTCGAATCCAGAAGCTCCATCCTCCGAAGGCCAGTTTCATTGGTCAATTACGTCATAGAGCTATGCCGAGGCCTGTTCGGATTGGAAGACTCCTCGTTATGCGGCCGACAAATTCAGCCTTCTTTTTGCCAGTTTTGAAGGATGGGTCCAGTGTATCCTTCATAGCCTTGGGTATCCCAGGATTAATTGCGAGTCCAAGCATGCCTACTGCTCTTTGCTCAAAGGAAGAAGCTACTTGTCGCAGGACAGTTGTGAATATTGGAAGTACAGTTTAATATAATACAAGTAGCCTATATGAATAGTTCCATCTGAAATTAATGAAAATAGTTGGTTTTAATGGTTATTGAGTCAGATTTGTTGCAGGTAATGTTTGGTTTATTGAAATGTTTCATCCATCCCTCTATAAATCTGTTTGGCTGAGATTAAATGACAGGTCCTATTATACCTGCAGTGTGGGGACTATAAATCTGATACGGTACTGCTGTTGAAGCTCCTCAAAAATGTTATTGCGACCCAGAATAGCAGTAAGTGGTTAGGTATCCATTCTTTTCCTGCTTTTTGTATCAACTTTCACGGCTGCTACGCAACAGAGCATACGGGCAATGAAAACCCGGGAAGGCTGGACCTGTTTAATCACCAGCCAAAACTCTTCCTGTCTTCTTACTTTTACAAATCGGGATACCCAGTCCAGATAGCCCGGGTCGTTCGAGGATGCAACCTCACCACAGTACTAATGATGTGACAGATGATTGCTAAATGCATAAATATGCTACACATCAGTATCTTTTATTAACAAAGTCTGAATTTTTTTTCTACCTGGCGGTTCACATTTAATATATATATGTATGTAGGCCAATTAAAAATCTAACCTGTCCCTTTCGATGTGCGTGTTCACCTATTCAGTTAAAAACTGGATAGGGAGAGGTGATAACCAGCTGGGTGGTACCACTGATCCCGATTTCCATTTTTGTGGATTGTTAAAACTGGATGGACTAGAATTAATCCTGCTACGTTGAGTTTGCTCTGTGGTATGGGCCTCAGGTCTGCATCTGAACACATCTGTACAATAATAAAAAGTTTTTAGAAAAGTAAGTGCCTGTACAAGCATTAATACTCTAAGGTTATGCTGTTTCTTTCACTCTGGGAGTGTTTTTCATTCATTTCTCATCAAAGCACTTTTGTTATTTTTCTTAATTTATCAGGGCAAGTGGCCATTTCATGATATAGTCTTTTGCTTTTAAAATATACATAATTTGAATACTACAAAAGTAATAAGGTCTTGTCTAGGACTCCAATAATACTATTGGCTTGAAATGTTGATTTTTCAAAAATATTTCATTAAGAAGCCTATAAAAGGTTAATAGCAAGTTTTTCAGTGAAAAACCAAAAGTGACCCTCAAAAAAATCTAGCTATAGTGTCTGGCGGATTTCCAAACTAAAATAAAAGAAAACAAGCACTAGAGCCAAGAATAGAATCACACTGTAGGTTTATTCTTTCTCAAATAGTAATACATTTTTTTCTCTCTCACATTTATAAAATTACTTTTACGATCTTTCTGTGATTGACAAAGTTTTGGGGAAGATAAACTTGATGTTTTTTTTCCCTTCTTTTTTCCCCATACAAACCAACTGTCTACCTGTAGACTTCACAATGATGATAGGAAACAGCAGCCTCGTGTCATGCAGTTAAAACAAGTAATTACCAGCAAATTTTAATTTACAATTCAATTTCCTTTTCCTTACACAAAACTTCAGCTTTAAGACATGGTATATATAATCTACCTTTAAATCTAAATTCTGTCTGCAGAAATGCAGATTTGAGTTGAACTGATTTAGATGCTGGAGTATGACTCTGAAGATTCAGCGTTGCTGCTTGAGTTTTGCACCCGTGTGACACGGTACACATCTGAAAAGAAACAAAGTGTCAATTAGGATAGCAATTTAAGTTATAAGTCATATGAACAATTTCTTAATGTACTGATCTTTAAACAGCTTACTCCTTCTCCTCCAAATTCGGTTAAAGATTTTTAGTCCGCTGCTCGAGGAATTCCCCGCACTTGTGCTCTATTAAAGAAAGCAGGTTTAAAATAAATTGATAGAAATAGTTTGCACTATGAAGTTCAGGTCTATCACAGCCTTTTTAAGATTTTTGGCAATCAAAATGATAAGGGTGATCAAGCCGAATAACTCAAATGTAGAACCTACCCTTGTTCTGCTAGATGTGGAGCTTAAAGCCGATACTCTTTGTGAAACAAAAGAACGGACCTGCAAAGGGAATAACATTTTAAGGAAGTTTAAAGTTTAAAAACCCTGATAACAATTTGTCAAACCTAAAGGAAATTAATTCTGGTCTTTATTTAAACTGAACTCATTTAAATATATGTACTTGTCAAAGTATTTTCATAATGTAGAAATGTGAGTTACATGGTTCATTATCTTTAGTTTGAATCTGGGACCTCAAAAACCATCATGTGAAAAAATGATTAACAATTTATCTGAAAATCGGTATCAGTTGATAAATATTATGTCTGTCTTATTCTTTTTAGATTTTGTCAGAAGCCTCCCATAGAAGTAAAAGGTGTATAGATGTGTTATTTATTTGGGGATCTTATCATTTCATCGTAATAACGTTATAATTTATTTTAGTCTGAAAAGCTTGTACAATGAAACATCTGTCTGAAACTTCATTACAAGTTTAAAGGGAGAGTTTAAGTGTTTTAACAAAAGTTCGGACTTTTGCAATATACTAATGATCAAAATTATACATCGAACCTAAAATACATAAATACATTGATCTGAATCTTATATCTAGCGGTGCTGAATATATTTCATCGAAGTGGAAAAAGTCACAGTTTACAACACTTGGGTAAGTAATCATCATTGGCTGCAGTGGAAAAATTATTCCTTTATCGTTATTAAAAAGCTTGTCAGAATTCAGGAGATTAAAGAACAATAAGAAAATGCAAAGAACTCAACAAAAAACTTAGAGTGAGATTAGTAGTATCAGACATTTGTTAGTGCCATATCTACATTATTGCAGAATTCAAAACTATAATTTTTAACAACAGTATAAAAGTATAAAACATTCAAGTTATCCAAAGTATCACTGCTTTGGCAAGAAAGGTCAAAGTGTCAGCCTCTAATTCAAACAAACTGGTTAGACACGCAGTAGATACACTCTACATAGCACAGGCTGCTATACAGTACAGTGTCTACTAAGATACAACACTTTCTAACTTGACTTAAACTAGCACCTTCTGTAGAATGCTTTAGACTCCTAAACTTAAAACTATATACCAGCTGCCAAGTACTCTGGTGATAGCATCATGCTGGATAATCTCTGTGGTGCCAGTGGCCTTGGTTAATTGCACAAGGCAGATAAGGTAACACTGAGGGAGAAATATGTACACATTTCTCACACTAAAGTAATTTAAAGGTATTATGGTTGAAACTTGGACATTTCTCTATTTAAATGGGAAAAACAACATACATCAGAATTCATTTGGGATGAATCACAAGACAAGATCAGGCAACTAGAATAGCCCAATTTCAAAGCTTTATTAAGACAGTAAACTAATCTCCATAAATTCAAGAATAATTCACATGTATTTTAAAGGTAACTATGGCGTAAGACTGTAGAATGTTTAAAAAGCTTGGAGTTGTCCAATTATTATATTGCAATTAAAGAAAAAACTTAACAGCTAAGTGAATAAGCGCTCCTCTTTAGTCTTTATGTGACTGCAAACAATTTGGAATTTAATGCTGAATTTTGCTTTGATACAGCTTGAATGGCCTGACCCATAACTCTTTAGTACATTGTTTTGCCTGTCATCTTGCCTTATTGTTCGCTAATAAGGCAAAAATGACTCACCAAATGCCTCTGATCACACTAAGCTTCACTACATCTGCCACTGCAGCTATTTTAGTTGCCTATGGTTAGTTCATTATGGGCTACATTTCACAGTGGATGGAGGAAGTTTATGGTTCGTATAAAGTCGTTGCACACAGGCATGGTTTATCTGTAGTCACATCCACTGTTCATGGTAGAGTAAATCAAAAGGGAGGTTCTCATGTCTATATTTTCTTAAAGACTGGTGAGTGACGGTATACTTAATACTAATATTGAAAATAAAGTCAACATACCTTGGAATCGAATAACGTCCCAAACACTAAAATGAAGAAACCCTGAAGAAGGTTAAACATTATTTTAGTAAAAGAGCACAGGAGATAAAATCCTAATTTAAATGCTGAAAAAAAATATATCTCCTGCAAATACCTGCAAAGAGTTGAAGAAAGCAAAGGCAACATGAATCCCCGCATTTGTTGGCTCCACCATGGTTCCAATTCCCAAAGACCAGGTGAGTCCAAACAAAGGACTGAGTATGGCCACACATCTTAGAATGACTACCAATGCATTTTTCTCACCTGCCTGGGATGTGTTTCCAATACTCCTCCGTCTAACCATTTTGTACAAAACCAATATAATGACCAAAATATTAAACACCACTATGATCAAGGCAGGGATGACCATGGCCAGGAGGGCCTTAGTTTTAGTCCAGTTTAGCCAGCAAGCTAGATCTTCCCTGATGTATCCTTCCCCAGGTGCTGTGGCGGCAACAGTAGTAACAGCTATAATCAGAGGGCAAACATATCCCACAGTCAATCCAATGGCAAACATGGTCCATTTGGACATTTCAGAGAAGACCATGACTGTCCGGTATAGGAGCAGAAGGCTTGAAACAAACATCCAAAAGAACATGGCAAGATAGAAAAAGTGCATGAAAAAGGTTGCTGCACTACAAGGTCCAAGGGGTACTGTGTAGTCCTCATCTGGGTTTTCTTTAGGGTTCTTTACAATAGCGGCTCCAATGATAAAGCAGATGTCAGCAATCAGCAGGGACAGTGCTGTGTTGACAATGGCAACATGGCGCATAAAAGCAGTGCTATTTTTGGTTAGGGCTCTCCAAACAATTCCTTCAATAACGAGACAAATCAGCAGGCTGACCATTGATATCCCAACTCCAATATATGTAATTATTTTCAAGAATTTTCTGATTGATTCAGGAACATCCGTTGACATCAGAATTGAGAAAGATGTGAGGTGGTTGCAGGTGCAGGTTACAGTGTCGTTTATGTCAGAAACAAACTTGCAGCCCTGATCATCCCATGCACCAAGTCGATCAAATAGGCTAAAATTCCAAAAGACACACTGTGGGTTCAGTTGCAGGATTGGATTACGTTTTTGGAAACTCAGATTGACATTACGAATTGTTTCATCGACTTTTACCAGCAGCACAGCACCATTGATGGCATTGTCTGGTGTAGTTTCATTGGTTATGTTGTTAGAAATGGTAAAGTCAAACGAAGAATTCCGTGCTGGCATAACATTATGAAGGGAGGAGAATACAATGGTGGTAATAGAGATATTATTGAGGCCTGTCTCTGGGAGTTCTATAGTGACATTGGAGGTCAATTGTTCATTGAAAGAGCCGCTGAACTGGGTTCTGTCCAGCTGGATCCTCTGAGTACTCAAAGCAAATTTTCCAGTTAATTTGTCAGAAATTGTCTCCAGGGAACTTAGAAGTTCTGAGCTTGAATTTTGAGTTTGATTTGTATTCAGGAAGTCCCAGGACTCCTTTGCATCATCTCCAACGATGACATCAACAGTATTCAACACATTCTATAGATAAGAAACAGAAAGAGAATATGATAAATTATTAGCAAACCTACCTGCGCCTGTTCTAAAGAACTTTTTCAAGAACTTGAAAAATAGAATGGAGCAGTTTACATACTTGCATCACATCTTCATTGACCTGTTGTGAAACCCTTGCAATTGTATTTAATATATCAACAATTGCCGATATTGTTGCTGAGGACTGGGAAATTTGCTCCTCCTCTTTCTGGACAGCCTTACTTAGATTTGCTGAAAACACCTGAATCTCTTCTTCCTTCAGATCCTTAATGGGTAGTAAAACAGACACAAAGATGACAATAAGGAACACAAAGAGGGAGGTGGGGGTGATAAGCAGTATTTCAAACACAATTATACTTAGAATGAACGATAGGATCCCTTAAATCTTTGTATAAAAATTTGTATCTAGCCCAAATATATAAACCAATTGAGACCAACTGAAACAATACCCACAAGCTGAAACAATGTACAGCATTTAACTTGGTCAAATTATCATATTAAGCCAAAGAAATTGGATTCTGAGATTTTTTTTTTTTCTCAAAGCAGATGTGTTTTACTTTGCCACTGTGTCACTTTTCGTGTAAGACTAATACGATTGCTGCCAAATTGTTGCATGGGTCGGATAAAAGTAGAACAGGGGTCTATCATAGTCGGAGCTATGCCCCATTCCAGACATCATTTAACAAAAAGGGTTTCTGTCGAATTGGACACAAAACCATGTCCAGCGTGTTCAGGCCTTAACTGTTGCAACATGTTTGATGATTCCAGCATTGAACCAAAGATGCAATTTGTTTCCAACAAGTGCTAAACATTACATTTGTTGGCACTTTATTTAAACTAAGATTTCATTTTGTTGCATGCAGCTGAAGAAAGCATACATTTAGTCCCAAAACCAAAGTTTAATCGGCACATTGTGTTGGATTGCCATGGCTGGCTTGATCATCTCTGGCTTTGTTTTACCTTCAGGCTCCACTTGTTGGTGCTATGTATGTGCTCTCTCTATCCTAATGCATTTAAAACCTTGGTTTTTCTCTGCATGCAAACAATGACTTCAAAAAGCCTAACAGTGGTAAAGAGTATGATTTTCTAAAACCGTCAAAGAGATGTTTGTAATTTTAGAAAAAGGATTTGTATTTATGGAAGGCATTGCTGAAACAATGTACCACAAGTCAAGTCCAGAAGAACTTGGGATGGAAAGTATGCAGTGATATTTTTCTGTAGGTCAAAATGGAAGTGCTTTCTCTTCCAAAATGAGACAAGTTTATTTATCTAGCACATTCAGTAATAAAAATAACAAAGGGGGATGTTCGGTGGAAACTGTTAAGTGTTAGTGAGTTGAATTTTGTGCAGTTTTTGGGTTATTTTTTTCATCATTTTATATTTCATTCAAGGTGGGGCACCTTAAGACATTAATTCATATGTAACACTTTTGAAAACCCTTCTGCTTCTGAAATAGTTTTTTCTCCTGTTTCTGTGTTTTTTGTTTTCAGTTATACCTTCAAGTTTTCTTAAACCTTGTTATGGCTGAACTGGTACTGGTAATAAGAAACTAAAGAATGTGGATGAGACGCTAGACTGAGACAGATTATTCTACACTATGGTTAAAAATAAACTTTTGCAGCTGTTTGTGTTGCAATGATTAAAAGCACGTT